CACATTCCTCCCAAGCTTTCCCATTCACCTCATTGCTCTAGCACTGGTGTTCTATTTTTGTGCATGGTAGCTCCTCCAAAATCCTCGTTATCCTCTAAACTTCTTCCACATGCACTGTTACCTATTTGCAACCTGACTGTTCCTTTCCAGGCCAGTGGGAATCAGCCCTTACCACCCATCAAAAATGTAATGGTGTTTGCTGGGAAATTTTTTTAGTGTCTTCTGCTTTCCCAGTGAATATAAACTGCTTTTCCAGGAACTACATCCCAATTTGCTAAGTTTAACCTACAAGAAAACAACTGCTCACTCTGAAATATTTTCAAGTACGTGATGCATCTGCAGTCTCGTACCACCCTGCAAACAGCACCAGTCTCTGTTAGATCTGCTGTTGCTCTTACAAGTGTGTCCCGGGCGTTCTTTCCTGTTTGCTGTTCTTCAAGCATGACTCCCTCCAGAATTGTTCTGTAAATTCACTGTTACCTGCATGGTCTGATCTCTCCTCCAGATCTGCCTACGTGAAATAGCCATCTGTAGGGGGCAGGCAAAAGGTCAGCGGGAAATACACTTTCAGAATCACAAAGATGCTCCAGATTATTTACTCCTTCTATAACTTTTATTCTCGCTCTCCTTTTTCCAATTATTTCCCCTTGATGTACTTCCTCCCTCAGATGGGATGGGAAACACTCGGAGGCAGGGACCACGCCTTCTGATTTGTCCTCTCACAGCAGAAAACACAATAGGACACAAGGCTTCAGGGACACTGCTTGATGTCATTGCCATTACGGGCACCAAGTACTAATATCAGTTTAAAAATAAAAATCTGAGCTAGTTAGGTTGTCAGTGCAATGGCACAAAACATACAAGGTGCAAGCAGCTGAAGCTGCCTTTCCTTGGTGTGTTTTGCCTCATATTTTGGATCTCCTTCTGCTTACAGTTTTCATTAATTAGCCTTTTTCTCTTCATAAAATAAAGGACTTTTTGCCTGGCTTTCTCTGCTTCCAGTGGATGTGATACGGGTGTAGAAGTGTCTACTGATGGCACCTTGTGGCTAAACCAGAGAAATGCTTGGGAATAGGAACAAGCATGAAGTAAGCCAGGAAAATATCAATGACATCAACAGTATGAAGGGTGGCAGGTCCTAAATGAGCCCAGACCTGCAAGTCAGCTGCTAGTTTGCAGTCATGACCAGGACTCAGTGTGGTGTGACCACAGCCAGTGAGGTCACCGGTCCTTGCTGAGCAGTTCAGGAACAATCCCTGATCAGGACAGCCACCAGGAAGACACAGCCAAAGCTGGGCATATACCAGTGCTGGCTCTGCTGGCACTAATACAGTCATGTTCCCACACACAGAGGTAGCTGACAGGATTCCCATGACGTGATGAGTAACAATGATGGGATTAAGAGGCAACAAAGGACACAGACGTACCCTACTGATAAAGGATATTTGGCATCAAGCAGTATCACATGAGATATGTCCTAGGTAGGGAGCAACAAACCAGGAGGGTGTGTTAAGGTACAGACAGACTGGGTACCTAAGCCAGCCAAAGGTCTCCTGAGAAATGCTGTGACCATGTGAAGAAAGCATGGTGTTGTCCCAGTCATTAATCATAGAATGATTAGAGTTGGAAGGGACCTTAGAGATCATCAAGTTCCAACCCCCCTGCCATGGGCAGGGACACCTCCCACTAGACCAGGTTGCCCAAAACCCCATCCAGCCTGGCCTTAAACACTTCCAGGGATGGGGCATCTTCCACAACTTCAACAATTAATCAATAATAAAGCTGGTATACAACACGGCTGCCTCTCATTTACTGCATTTTCTCAACTTTGGTTGAGTCCAACCATTTCTCTTCAGCCAATCCAGGTATTTATCCTGCAGGTCTCTCAAGGTCCCACTCTGTTTTATATTATCTTTAGTATGCTATTAGCATAATTCCTGATGTCTTGAAGTCCTTTTAAAAGCTGGCTCCAATTACTTGCCCTAACAGCTTTCAGTATAAGTAAGCAGCATACATATCACTTGGGAAGGGAAACAGGAGTCCTGTAGTTGGTCCAAGATCACCCAACAGATCCTGCATTCCAGATATGGGAACATGTAACTACAGGATCTAAATACAAGTCCTCACTCTAGAGGAAAATTTCTATGATGAAAAACCAGGGAGCTTCATTTTAAGTGTGAAGGCCTGGAAATAAATCAGGCTACAGCTGGGTATATGAAATCCTGAAAGAGTAACAAAAAAGGTGAAGTTTATCTTTCCCAGAGAGACTTACAGATTCTCAGCAGACTAAGGTCTTCAGACCTAATCAAGTGTCATGCAAGATGTCAAATAAACAGCTCTACGTGCCCTATATAAACACTCAAGGCACAGGAAATTATCCTCACTGTCCATCCAGGGATTGATGCACTCATATTAAAAGGCAAATGAGACTCTCAACAACCAGAATACTTTATAAGCAGCAATATAAGATAAAGATAAAACATTTTTGTGCAAGACCTCACCTGTAGCTACATCAAGACGTTGCGTTTTTCACAGCCTACCCCAGTACTATACACAGTAATTTTCAACAGCTTTAATACTCACGGATTTTGCCTGTGATACGAAAAGCAAAATGCTTTAATACTCATGGATTTTGCCTGTGATACGAAAAGCAAAATGACAGATTAAGAGAGGAGATTCAGCAGTAGCTGGTGTGAATTTATTGTTTTTTAGGAAACCTTTCTTTCCTTTCCTATAAAACCACTTTGTGTCATAAAATGACTCTTGCAACATTAGTACTACTTTTTGCCCTATCTCTACTTAATACTAAAAGGAAATTAACACCAACAGATATAGAATAAAAGCCTCACATCAAGGACAACTTTTACTGGAAAAGAAAGAAGAGTGAGAGATACAATGAAGACCACAAGAGACTTCACTATTCCATATTACCTGGAAGATACTCAGATACCACTGTGATAAGCAGCCTTGCAAAAAACTTGGGAAAGGTTGATGGCTGAAATTGGAATAATCTTTTTTTTCCAAAGTAGATGTTTCACTGCTTTTTTTGAAATAGTAAAGCTAAAGTCTCGTCCTTACCTTTTTGTGTAAATAACTTCCTTTGCCTGGGGTGTTCATCATCGGTTTGACCTTAAAATGCATGGCAGCGTTCTTAGCAATATTCAATCAATGGTAGGATTAAAGGTGAAATCAGTTACACAGAGGAAGCCTACTGCTGTTTCACCAGTGTGGTGGCTCTAATCTCCCTCCGAGAGACTAAAGATCATAACTGATTTACTTCTCTTCCCTGGGGAACAATTTTCTGTAGCCTGAAGCAATCAGGAAACAGACTGAATTGGCTTTAATACCCATCTGCCCTAGGGGGGAGAGATTGTGAAAAGCTACTAGGTTGTTTCTTCTTCATACTTGTAATTAAATAAACTATGACAAATTTGGCAGGCAGAATTTCTAGCAGTACCAGTTGTCTGAAAACTTCTTACCCAGTGTATAATTGATATATAGCAGCTATTCCCAAGCAGCAATGGAGAATATTTAACCATTAAAATCAGTGGTCTTCACTCCATGCTATGATTTAACCTATTGGCAACATACCTCTAATTTTCACACCTACCAAGAGACAAAAATAACTTTTTCAAGACTGTGAGACCCGTCTAAGCACAAGTAAACGGGGCTTACTTTGATTTTATTTTTTTTCCTTGACTGGGATCTTTCTATTATTTCAAGAATGCTAGGCATGTAAATGAGATGGTACTGATATAATTGAGAAACACATCTTAGAAGTGGTACTTAAAAAGTTTTTATATCAGAGAAGGACAACCTGGGACCATGAAAGCATTTTCATATAGATTAATATCAAAATACATATTACTGACAGCTTAGCCAATAAACTTTTGTTGCTAGTACTTTTCAAAACGGTGCCAGACACAAAGATGACAAGTTTTTCTCTGACAAACTTTCCACAATTCAACGTATTTCCCACAATTTTCGTAACATAAAAATAATTATATAAATAGAACCAAAGTTTGTATTTTATAGTGCATAGAAAGCATAAGAGAGATATTAGGGTTGCTGTGACTACAGTAATTTCAAATATGCTGTGTCTGTCTCTCTTATCCTCATACACCAACATGAGATGTTTGTAAATATTCCATGAGACATTTTTAAATATTCCATGAGAAAGGCAAGTGAGCTCATGATTTTTCAGTTTACTGTGTTAGAACCAGTGGCATCTTTTTTCCCATGAGCTCGACTGAAACAGTTTACAGTCACAGACAATTCTGATTTTTTCATAATTATTTAACTAATTTTAGGCTTATTCATATATCACCGGAGAAAAGCAAAGAATTTAAGAAATGCTTTCGCTTCTCCACCCAGACCTGTTGCCAAATGATACTGAGGCCTGCCATCCTGGCATTCAGAGGTGAAAGAACTGCCACCACACCTGCTAAGTGTTTTCAAAGCACAGTGCCAACCCTCCTGAGTTGCAGGATTCAGCTTACCCCTGTTTCACAGGTAGAGTCATAGACATGGAAATACAACAGTGGTTTTATCAAAAACATGCACTGATATTTCTGCCCAGATTGGGGTAACTCAGTGATACCCTCCCAATAAGCATCTACAAATCTGATTATAACACCTTTGAAAAGTAACCCATATCAGCTGAGCCAAAAATCAGTATTACTGAAGAGTTTGTATATAAAAGTATTTTAATCCTTTGTAGCACACACCAACATGACAGCACAGGACAGATGCTGAAAAAGAATCTTTTGTACTTCTCTGGTGCCTGAAAAACTGTGGAGACATCCGAGGGGCACCATTCTTCAACCTGTAATTGATTTCTAGTGCTATTATGCTGAATTCTTCCCACCAAAGAAATAAAGGAGCTTAAAACAGAGTGCAAACAAGAATTGAATGAGAAGCTAAACACGTAAAGCCACTCACCTGAAGATTTTTACTTTGCCAAACATACTGAGAAGAAATGGTGGATATACTCCCATGGTCAACTCTGTAGTTAGTATTCATACTGCTCTTCAAAAAAAAAAAAAAGTTTTAAAACATGGCAAGTGCTTAAATTGTGAATTGTATATTTTTATTTGTTTAAAAGAACATAAATATTTAGCTAAAAACACCTAAGACAGGTGAGTCATTTTCCTAAGAGCTAAACATTTACTTGTGTGTGATTAAGAGTGATAAAAAGAGCCAGCAGTGACTGCTAAAAATCTACTTTGTGCTGATATTGCTGATAGAGAAAATTATGCTGCAAACAAACTCTATTCTGCCAATTTTGTACTAAGATTTGAAGATTTCAAATATATTCCAATGCTTATAGATACCTTTTAAAAAATAATGGTAACACATTAAAATCTGCCTTTTTTTTTTTTTTTAAATCCACATTTCCCCTATTTCTCTTCTGCACCTGCTTTTTATTGCAATAGCCACAGGCTGTAATAAGACAGCAGTGTGGCTTCAAGCCTTGATACAAAGGAAGGTCTGTCTGAGCCAGTTACTCATCCACATGACATGATAGCTCCCATTTCCTCCTCAGTCTTGCTTTCCCAGACCAGTGACAGAAACCACATTGCAGAACTGTCAAGATCCTAAAACCTGATTGTTAGATGCCAATTACCTTGATTAGGTTTCCTTAAAAAAGGGGAAAAAAAAAAAAAAGAGAGATGCGGACTGAAGATTTACCTGCTATGCTCCAACTTGATAAACTGGAACTCGGGTATATCTTGTCTGCTCACAGACCTCACCTGTAGATCTGCTCAAAAAAACAAAGTCATTTCACTTCAGCTAAGAAGGTATATCTTGTCTGCTCACAGACCCCATCTGTAGATCTGCTCAAAAAACAAAGTCATTTCACTTCAGCTAAGAAAATTGCACCCAGAATTAATCCATTCTAATAAACTTTCCTGTTATTTTTAAGCAGCAGTTTAAAAGTCACATTTCTCTTCAAAGAAGAATTATCTGTAAAAACGGGTGTAAATGTACCTGGTTTTATTCAAAATTTCCCAAGGGAAACAACAGTACCATCTGGGTGAGAAATTTAAAGTCAGACTGAAACTCATACAAAACAAGAGGCAGCCAAGAATAAGGCTGTTTGGTCTCCTAAATTCACAGGAGTAGGGGATGCTCAGCCTTTAGAAAGACCAAACACAAGTCTGAAAGGATTTGCCAATTCCTCTGAAGACCAACTCCACCACAACTTGCACACAGAGGTTGGTGTTCAACCCCCAAATCTATTTACTCAGTGGCCGATGGCAGCGTGATGGTGATACAAGAAGCTAGGGGAAGTACAGCTGCTGCTCTGGGGCACAACTCATCGCCACCACGGCGGGTGCACAGCCCCTCTTGCCTCCCTGAGCATAAGCAGAGAACTACATTGTGCAGAGCATAACGTAACACCGTGGATGGACAGATGAGGCCTCACTACTTCAGCACCGAGTCGTGTTAAGTGCCTGGCCTGTCACCTTCTTCCTTGCTTAATGGGGGAGAAGGTGAGAAAGAGATCAATGTTCTTCGGCGGCATGAGCAGAGCAACAGCACACACATCCTAGGCCCTGGCTGGGAGGCACGAGAAGGTGAGAAAGAGAATCAACGTTCTTCAGTGGCATGAGCAGAGCAAAAACACACACATCCTAGGCCCTGGCTGGGAGGCAGAGCATTGTGGCTGAAGTAATTTTTCAGTTGTTTGTCTCTGTTACCTATGGACCTGGAGATGGACCTGGCCAGGGGGAGAAGGGGAAGGAGAGCACAAGGAAGGACAGCAGTTGTGGCTCCCTGGGGTGCCCAAGGAGCAGCAAGGAATGAAAGGTGGCATCAAAGATCTGCCCCTGCACAGCAGACTGAATTGTTCTTCTTCATCCACAAGAATTAAGAAATTCTGAAAAGCCCTGAGCTGGCTGTATTTTAACCCTCAGCTCAAAAAAATCCACACAACCACCCCAGACCATGGTCTGCAACGCACAGCTCTCTTGGGTGACAGGGTGGCAGTTAGCATGACGTCGTTACAGCAAAATCATACTTGCCCTGCTGTGACCTCACTCTGTGGGATGTAGGAGTCTGCAGACACATCCCACCTGCAGTTCGAGGCAGTCCTAGGTTTCTCCCACAGGGAAATGCAAGTAACTTATCACTTCTTCTGTGAGGTTATGGGAGGTCATTGACTACCTGCACTCAGTGAATTTGTAACTTAACAAAAATACAAAGTATACCTTCATTACAGCTTCAAGCTCTGACATCCTACTACAAATATTAAAAGTTCCAGCCTAAATTAAACCGGGGGCTGGACTGTAGCCCTGCACAGGCAATGCAGCAGGAGCCCAAACCCTCTTCTCTTCCAAGGGGGAGTTTTCTTGCAGCTATAGCCGAATTTCAGCGAAGGGCCCCAGTCAGCTCTGCAGGCTGGTAAGGAATTGTGACGTGTATTTGCAATCAACAAATTTAACTGTAACACTTATTACAATTATACACCACAGAGAGTAAAAATTATCCCGTCCTTCATATCAGTATGCTTCTCCTGACTCTCTATTCCTTTTTCTTCTTTTAATTCATCACCTTTACTCTCTGTGTCCCCCTGGTCCATCTGTGAAAGGGAATATTTATAATTTTTACTTAGTTCTCTTATGATGTGGCTCATTGTTAAACACAGAAAATCTTTTTCTATAAAGAAGAGTTCTGGCTCATCAGCTAAGAACAATCTAATTATTTTTCCTTCAATTACATTTAAAATAAATTGTTTTTAAGAGTCCTTGCAACCACTTTATCACCCACGCAACTCTCACTGCGTATCAGAAGGTAGTAGATCAAAGAGCTGGGGATTTCTGTACCCACTGCCAACCTGTTTCAGAGACAGTGTCCAGCACAGAAAACCACCAGCCACCTGACCAGATGTGATTGTCCCCTGGGAAGACGCACACACTACTGCCTTGTCACTGGTTGTAAAATTACGACAAATTCTTCAAGACAGGAAGCCTAACCCCACCAACTGCACCCAGCCTGCAGGACCAAAACTCCTCTCTTGTTCTCACAGATCATCAAGGAAAGACATCTGGATAATACCACCAAAGAGAGCTCAGGATGATTCAATCAGACTGGAAAAATCCACAGTTGAGCTCATCTGATTCAAAGATCTTGCTATTGGGCTGCTTTAATCATCCACATCTCAACCCTTCCAAGCAGGCACATCAGAAATCTTGATCTGAATCCTGACCTTGGCATCTGGTGGCACCATTGAGTAGCCTGACATTGAGAGTTGTATTGAACAATCATCGTTTCACCCGAACTACCGGTATTACTAAGTAAAACAAACACTGAGGAAGAGAAAAATGATACATAAGATGAGCATCAGCAAAAGTTATAGTTCAAAAACCTTTTTCCTTCTGCAAGATATAAAAAATACTACCACAAAAAGAAAAAAAAAAATCAGATATTAAGCTTTTTCATGGTGTTTTGCAGAACAAGCTTCTAAACTGTGATTCTGTTCTGTTTAAAAAAAAAAAAAACAACAAACCAGAAAAAATCCCAAACACCAAAACAAAACAAACCAAAGGTTAATTTGGCAATCTTGAAAATTCTGGAAACATCAAAAAGTCTCTGCATTCATATTTCTGTATTTATAATGGGTTAACATTAAGAAAACAGATATTTTCCCCAGTTCCCTCCACCTTTGGCAGATAAAACAGGGAGATAAGAAAGTTGTGACGTTCTTTTGACCTTCTGCCAAAGGTAAGGACCACCTGTCGATCTGAATTTCCCTTGCAAATCTGCTGGAGCTGCAATGCTGAAACTGCACTGCTGGTGCCTGCTTTATCTCTGATTAGCCATCATTTGGGACAACTGTTCAACTGATGGAGCAAATGACTGTACTGAGCTGGCATTTCCTACCTCCCCATCACACAACTGTTTAGAATAATATCTCAATGTCCCTGAAATGCACCTTTATTTCTCCTCTCTTGTCCGATCTCAGAAGAGTAAGGAAAAACTTTGTATAAAGGTTTATTTTTATCTTGTTGTAGGAGGATATTGTACACTCTGATGAACAATACTAGGATTAAGATGGTCTCACAGAGGTGTTTGTGACTCAGGATATACTCACAATCCTCGGAGAGGATGTTTCCCTCTAAATAGGGGCACAATAATGCCCAAGAATATAGTTTTAGTCTGGTGGCAGGATTTCTCAGGGTTTTCCTGAATAGCTGCCAAAACCAGACCTGATGGTCTGCCTTCTGAGTTAACTCTCACCTGGCATTCCCCAGCTTTCCCTAGAGGTGGCTGCATTTTCTGTGGTAGACAGCAATCCATGAGGACTGTCTGCCAGTCTTTGCTCCCTGAGAGTGGAGCTGGAGTCAGGTTACTAGAGTGATTACAGGTAGCACTTGTTATCTCCTCTCTCCTTCTCTTTATAACCTTCACTAGAATATACCAGTTTAAAATGGGCCATATCTTTTGTTTACTGCACTGTCCAACCCTCAATGTGCGAGTGTGCTCAAACAAGTCTGTCCATTCTGCTCTTCCTGCTAAGGTCAGCTTTACCTTTCTGACACAAGCTCCTTCACTTTCCTGTCCATCCTCTCTGCATGTGGCCCCAGACAACAGACGCTGGAAAAGCTTGGGGTGCCTCAGATTAATTATCTGGTCCTGTTTTGTTGGTATAGGTAAAATGCTCCAATCTGGGAAGATGTGCAAAGAAGCTGTAGTGAACTGGTCTGCTCAAAAATGAACAATGAAGCCCCACCTGCAGGGCTGAATCACTGCAAAACTTCCAATAGTTGTAATAAAACTAAAATACAATCTAAAATAGAAAGGTATCAGAAAGCATTGGAAGCGGAATCTGGAAAAAGAGCCTGTACTCATCTGCATTTTCTTTTTCTCTTTCTTTCTTTTTCTTTTTTTTTTCCCCCAGAGGAAGAAATGACAAGACTTGAAATGGAGAGGGCTGAGTCCTGGGCTTTATCTTAGCTGAGTGAACTCATATCTACACCAGGAAGATTCTTTTTGATCTGAAAATCTGTCCCAATGGCCACTTGGGAGCATTAGAAATGTGCAGACAATTATTTTGTTTGCCGTATACACGGTATTAAAATCTTTCGCTCAAGAATTCCATTCTTTCAGATGAAAATAAAATATTTTATTTTGAAGACATGATATATCACACAAATTAACTATGGAAAAAGCTGGGGGGAAAAGTACGTCTGATGCTTCAAAATCACATGAACTGTATTTTGGCTAGTATGGTCTTTCCAGTCACCTTTTCTTCCAACTGTTTTATGAAAAAAAGCAAATCTGTTCAAATCATGAGTCCCTTCTCTGTCAGACCTAAGCCCCAATGTTTGCAAATACACATTTGACTGACAAACCAATGAACGATATCCTCTTTCAAAGGATGTCCTTGTACACTTAAAAAAGGGAGAAGTATGGTTTATAGATTTCTGATTTATGAATTAAAAAGGACCCAGGAGCTATTTAAATAAAATCTCCATGGAAACTTGTATTTCACAAGATGATAAGCTCCTGAAAGAAAAGAGCAATGACAGCTTAAGAAGAAAAAATAATCTTAACAGATATAACCTCCTGTAAAAAGTCTGCAAGACAAAATGAATGAAAAATTCCACCTAGGAAGCTGAAGCAAGCAGGTATTCACTGCAAATGTTTTGCCAGAACTGAGATATTTTTACCATAATTAGACTGAACCAGCAGCAGGCTGTACACACAGTGGAGGAGAAAACCCCAAACCAAGCTGCAATAACTGTTTGAAAGCTGTTTTTCTGAGATAGTAAGAGGTCTTTGGTACATCACTGATTTTAGAAAGTTACTTGTTAGAGCTGTAGCAGTATGTGAACACACCTCATGTACCCAAAGATAAAAGCTGGACTTCGGGGATGAATTACAGGAGCTGCCTGTGCTCAGCTCACAAAAGGAAAGTGTGCATGAAAACCTTGCAGAATATCCACACACCTTGTCCTACTGCAGAAGTGAATTTCACCTACACAGTGCCTGGCTCTGGCAAGGTACAGTCTTCACCTTGATGGATAACCAGGATACTGTCCCTTCCATGCAGAAAGCTCCTCTGCTTTCTTGTTTTGAGGACGCAAAAGACATTATCAGTCTACTAATGCTGTAAAAATGGTATATGCTGAAATGCATTCTGGGCTTATCGTTACAGATTCACCATTGTAATGTTTACAACAACAACAATAATAATACTAACAAAGGTGGCTGTCCCTTCCTCTCCCTTTGGGAAAATTCACTCTGTCCCCAAAATTGTACTCCTTGTATTCCCACAGGCACTATCTGCTGTCCTGGATGCTGCCCTTGGCTAGCAAACCATAGGCTGTGGTGGGATTTTCTGAGGCCAATGGTAGTGTTGCACAAAGAACAAAGCTCCTTACACAGAAGAAATATTTAGCATTGGAAGAGCTTACCTGGTTTCCAACTGGGTAAGTTTCACTCTGGTTTTCAGCACAAGGGAGACAAGTGTGAATGAAAAGGTGAGAATTCACAGGCATTGGGACTCCAGTAGGGAGCTCGGCTCTTCAGGATACCTCACTGCAAAATGCATAGGAAACAACCTTAATTAATTACACGCCTTAATCCATAGTCCCAATTGTGTAAGCAAATCTCAGTCTGCAGCATACACGTGACACAAATGTTCTGTTGGGAGATACCTGGCAGTAAGTAGACTAAATTCCCGGGGTAATGCATGGTATGGTACACATTTACTCAGGAAGGGTTTGCTTGTATCAAAATGAAAGTGTGAGAACTGTACTATATCCCAAGACATGAGATAACAAGAATAATTACATTTATATTAAATAAATGAAATCTAGCTCTCCTGTTCAGTCGAATTTCCTTAATTACTCAAAATACCAGATAAGAATATTGCTCAAGCAGGTCTCATCTCACAATGCATACCTGAATTGTACAGCTGGAGTCCTAACAATCATAAGTGTCCGATGCTTGAGGAAGCTGTTACTTAAAAGTAAGTTATCACAAATAGTACAGAGGAGCACTTTACAGTTGCCAAAATTGTTGCAGTACCACAGGAAGATGATAACACGGCTTCCAACATTTTCTTGGAAGGGAGAAAGTACAGTTCTCTGATCTATGTCTGCATCATTTTTTGTCAATAACTCTAATGACCTTTATAACCTTCTGTTTCATTTCTAGATTTCACTAGATTTTACATAACATGGTCGTTCTAAAACATAATAGTAAGGGTATAACAGGAAGAAATTAAAAGTGTGAATACATGCCAGAAAATTCATCCAAACTTTGGTGACTGTTCCACATCAGATACCATCTATATATTGTGAAGTATTCTGAAATTACAAAAAGTCAATTGATTCGATCTGAGGATGCAGAAATATACCATATTTCCATCTATTGAAGCTCAGCCAGACAAAGTCCTATCTTAGCAACTGACCATAAATCTGAAGTGACTCCAGCAAAAATAAAATTAACTGTTTCAGTTTGCTTAAAGAGAGGAGTTTTATCCTGTACCACATTTTTCCTTTATTTCAATAGTTAAAATTTAATTGGCTCTGTTCTCACAGCTCATCACAGATGGTGAGTTTTTCTAATCTATTTTTTCTTTTAAAGAGTAAAAAGCCACTGAACTAGGGGTACAGCTGACAATTGCCACTAGGATGAGACTGAAGGACTGCAAACATACTATCTGTCAATGAAAGATAAGATCTTAATTATTATAGCCCTCTACCATAAACTAGAAATTACCAGGGAAATTCTCTAATAGTTATCTGATATTCTTCAGTAATTTTAGATCATTGGGAAATATCCTCTCTCATTCCAGCTAACAACATTGAAACAAGTAACACTAACCACACTTGTGGTCATGCTACTTTTCCTTCTCTAGGAACTAGAACTTCCTTCTATGTGTTGGTTTTATCTTTTTCTTCTTGGTTTTTTTTTTTTCCCTAGAATTATCTTATCATAATTTTTGAACTATGTATTCATTCACAATTAAAAACTGGATTCAGACCAGTTGAGAGTCAAGCTTTGCACTGTAACAATGAGAGATCTGGAGGTGATGTGGGTAAGAACACTGAATCCACACCTCCTTGCACACTGGCCCCAGCACGTGGGTCTGGTGTGTAACGTAGCACACTCCTCCCGCCCTCCCAACAACCAGGCTCCTGAGGAGGAGGCAGGTGCTCCTGCTTAACTGCAGGGTTTGTGCAAATGGATTTTTAGCAGACGGAGGATTTACTAAAAAGAGAAAAAATAGGGTGGGGGGTTCCTCTGATTTACAAGGGACAGGTTCCACTCTTTAAGCACTGAATCTATGTGGAATAGGTTTTATGATGTGCCTGTTAAATAGCAATTAATACTCCTGCAAGATAAATACTTCTTCAATAATTATGTGATGCCATTGCCTAACATGAAGATGCTCAGTGTTAATTGATTTAGCAAGGAATCTTCTGAAGAACTGAGGATTTGCTGTAGCAGACTTGTTCAGAACATCTCCAGCTCCTGCCTTTTGCAGAACAGAAGAAAAACATAGAAGTCTTGTCAAATTATACCATATTAAAAGTGAGAGTCTTTCCTTACCTGTTTTTTTCTAAATCTCAGAGACTTACTCATTAGAAAGACAATAGATACAGTAGGGCTTCTGAAAGCAAATTATTGAGAATTTAATTTATTGTTTTGTTCGCAGTCTGCAGGTTTGAATGTTGTTTTACAGGATGGTTTCCTTCCAAAGAGGCTGGTTGGAGCATTTTGATTTATGGATGTAACATCATTCATGGACTCAGATGCCAGCAGATTCAGAACTTTAAACTTGGGCTTCCCCTGAGATCTCCTTAGGTACTTTTATTGCCCCATCACAGTTGCATTCAAATGCTTTAGAAACACCTATAAACTGAAACAATGGCATCAGTTACCCATTTCTCTTTCACACGAGGAACATCTGGGGCAGACTTTGAGTTTTTGCGTTGTGTGTGTATGTGTACGAGAAAAAGAGAGAGCCCAAGATGAAACACTCAGGAAAAGCCAGTTACATATGACAGAAGCCCAACCTGCCTGCCTTCCACAGCCCTGAAATCGCCACAGAGGTTTTTCTATCAGCTCACATTTACCACTGCATCTTTGCAACAGAGTTGTCCTGGGGGAATGACCAAGCCAGCGCTGCAAAGGACTTTGAGAGTTAAGGCAGAGACCTTGAACTGCACTTTGCATTAAAGAGTCAGTCCTCAGTGCAGAACATCAGGCTGATGTGCTCACGGTAATGATTGTTGCTAAGCAAAGGGAGCTGATAGCTGTCTTTTGTCCTGAAGTTTTCAGGATGTGTGGCCTCGCTGAATGGTCGGGAGGTCAGGAATGCATAGGTCATCCTGGTCAGACCCAGGCCCAATTGAATGGGACACCTCTTATGGCAGATGGAAAGGGGAAATTTGCTGCCATGGTTGTAGGCATCTGTAGCAGCAAGGAGTTCAAAAGGAGCACAAGGCTGCTTAAACTCCTGTCCCAGTCCCACATTTTCCCACCTTAACCTCTGAACACTTACTTCTCTCCTTAAAGTATGCAGCAGAGGGATATCTTGACTTAACACAAACTCAGCCCTGCCAAATTAAATTTAACATAAGGTCAGCCAAGAAATCATGCTGCGAATGGGTGACATAGAGAAGGCAGCAAACCCATTTAGTTCACGACTTGCTGGCTCTTTGTCTTTATTTGTTTCACCAGTTCTCCCACTCTCTTCACGCTTCAGAGAAGTGTGATTCTGCAGAAGACAGTGGCAGAAGGTGGCTGAGCCAACCTACAGTCCTACTGGTTCTGTAGTCCCAATGTGTCTGTTCCTAATCTCTCACGCGGTTCACCTCACTAAACTGAGAGAAAACTACTATCTTTTGGCACATCACTCTTCTACCAAAAGCAGCCCCCACAGGGTCTGTAAATGACAGGACTGCAGAGCTGTAAGCAGGAGAGAAAGGTGTAAGGATCAGGACTTCCCTGTACCACAGGGCTGAGAGTTTAAACTGTACTGGAGCCCTCTGACCATGCCCAGGGCAGGAGCTCTGATCACCAGGAAGCCATCTGAGCTCAGAGGGGCTTCCCTCGTTCAGTCTAAGAAATAAGGACTGACCCACTTCAGAATGTTTCCTTTACGCTCGTACAGCTCTGGGAAATAGGACAGACGAACATGCACAGGGATCAATAATAGTCAAGTGCTACAGTGAGTCCATTAGGATCAGCCCATCCATCAGGGCTACAAGAGCTCTTTCCGTGCCTGGCTGTAGCCTGAGGCTTTGCTGAGACGGATCTGTGGCATCCACCCCGGCCCTTGACCGGCGTGTTCAGAAACGACAGCTCTTGGCAAAAGTTTCCAAGGCCATCTCCTCAGAGCACTAGTTTTTAGTCCTTGCTATTGAGATTTTTGTAATGCTTTAAGATGAGTGTCCTTCAGCAGAAGATGATCCAAGAATATTAAAAGACCAGCACAGAGCTGTAGTTCTTCTGCCCCTTGCAGTAAAAGAAGTACATGAGGGGTATCTGGAGAAGGGGAGGCAACTTGTTTGTTTTTTTTTCCCTGGGAACTGGAAAAGGAGTGGTTTGAGTTCAGCATATAAGAACTCCAGCTATGATATGCTCAGTCACATTAAAACTTTGAAGACTCACCTATGGGAAATGAATGAATACTTCAGAAAGGAGCTCCGTAGGAAGTCATCAGGCACATAAATGCCAAAGTCTCCCAAGGTAATGGATTACTCCGCCATTTCATCTAACCTGACTTTCATGAGCATCTCTGGAGACTATGGCAAGAGAGCACCAGACAATGCCCTTCCCTTAGGGCTACACTTCTTTTGGCATTTTGGGGAACCATTCAGTCCACAGATTTTTAAGGTGTGTGCACAGAATGCTTTGGGGAGGAGGGGGTGAATAACATTGCCTATACTGCTATTTTCATTTTAACATGAGTAACTACAAATTGATTCTCCTGTGGACTCAGACATTTTGCATGGGCAACAGTTTTAAAGAATTAAAATAATGAAGAATCTATTATAGTGGTGAGCAAGTAATTTCATTGATCTTCACTATTAAAGATGCATGATACTTGATGAGCATTTATCACTTCAAAACTTAAGTGTGATCTACCCCAAAGCAGTGGGCAAAAGGGGGAATATCACAGAGAGTAGGGTTTTTCTGATTTTGTTTGTTTTAGAAGGAGATGACACCAGAAATAAATACAGGATCTGTAACACTAGTTGTAATAAGTTCTACAGCTGAAATCATAACTTAAACCTCAACACGCACATTTTTAATGCCACCTATTAGGGCAAGCAAAATAATTGCACCAGTGTTACTAAAACTTCTACAAATTACATGTGGCCAGTTTTCTTCTTGCTCAGTATGCTGAAACACAGCAGGACAACAGCAGTAAAGAAAGGCAGGCACACATGTGCTGTCTTCTAGAAGACTGTTCCCAGGGAAATCAGAGTTAGCAATTCTTGCGAAGTCAGAATTCAGAATAAAGTAGGAAGCCTATGCTCATCAGAACAACAATCTGTATTTGTGCA